AAACTAATCAACAAAAGCAAATAACTCCACTTTTAGATTATATCAATAAAGAGAGCTTGCGCTAAATCATACCGAGTATATGGAAAGCACCGACGCGTATTATAGATTAAGACGATAAATGATCCATGTAGCATACATTTAAGGTGATTATTTTCGATTCATATAAATATTTACAAACATTATCTACCTAAAGATGTTTATACATAGAGTCTCTAGAAAAACAAAAAACTTATAATTATTTAGATGGTCAGAGTGAAATACGAATGTTCGATTTCCTGTACATGTTCTTGCCTCGTGACACCTTCAAACTTATCTTTTTACCACGTAATTTCACACTAATCTTGATTACTACAAACCCTTTTAACATTATATCGGCTTCAATTTTTATTCTACAATGAATGGATATGACACATCATATCGTAGTCAAAACTACGATATTTCTAAAAATGCCAAAAATAAGAGAACAAGAATCCCAACATCATGTCTACTATGCAGAAAAAGAAAAATTAAGTGTGATAGAAAAAGACCCCATTGCAGTGGGTGTTTAGCAAATAATACTTCTCAGCTATGTAAGTATGAGATTAAGCCATGGTCGAAAGAGTATTTTGATGCCAATAATAAGGAACCGTGGCAACAAGAAATCGAGGAGTTGAGGTTAAAAGTAAAATCACTCGAAAAGACTCTTGAGCAACAGCAATTAGAATTAGAAATCAGATCCGAGACAAGTCTTCCCTCTTCGGTAACATCTAGTAATCAAAACGATTACAAAAAGGCTCAGAATGAGGGAGATATGACTATTTTAGATTTGGCAGAGAAATTTGATTTCCTCGTTGTGAAGGATCTGAGGTTAAGATATTTCGGTCCCACATCTTCCGTTGCACTTATACGAAATGATAAGTACGCGGCATCAATATATTCGAAATACTTTAAAGAGCAAAACAAGAAGTTTAAAGAGATTACTACTAAACACGGGGGTGTTGGAACTCAAAAATACGACAATGGTGCTGAAAGTGGCGAATGTTCATATAGGCCATCGTTTGCAGGTAATTTCCCAGAGCTTCCTTCATTGGAAATAATAAATTTACTACTTCATCGATTCTTCGAGTTCTGTTATCCACTTTTTCCATTTATTGATGAGATGGATTTTATGGCGGACGTAAGAGTTATTTTGACTGAAGAGAATAAAATCAATTTAAGCCTTCATCAAGAAAGTACATTTGCAATTCTATTAATAATGTTGAGATACTCTTATCTCACTCTTTCCTTTCAAAAAGATTTAATTCAATTACCAGAAGCTAGATTTGATCTTGCACAAAAAATTGCGATTTCCGAAGTAAATATACCACCGTCTTATGTGGAATATGCCAAACACCTCATCATATCACCTAACAGCCTCGGAAAGATGACTCTTAGAACTATTCAAGCTGCTTTGTTTTTGAGAGTTTATAAAAAACAATGTCCTGAAGATGACGACATAGGAACAGATAATGAAATATTGTTGGGAATTCTGATTCAAATGGCCAGATTTCATGGTTTTCATAGGGGTACTGTTGAGTTAGATAAAGAGCTTGTGAGTTCAAGCGATATTCAACTTTGGAAGAAGATTTGGACTCAATTATTATATCTTGATGCCATGCAGAGTTTTGCTAATGGAACCCCTTTATTGGTATCTGATGACGAGTTTAATAGTCAGGGGTCGTATGATAGCTTCAACTTTCAAATTCAAGATATTTTGATAACAAGACAGTTAACTTTGACACATACGGCGGCAAAATTGACAAGAAGTATTGTGCGGATTACAAGTCAAATGCACAGAAGTTTTAAACGGTCAGATTTAGATGAATTAATTGTTGAGATAAATGATTTGCTTTTTAACAAAATGAGGACTTTTGATCAATTATGTAATTCAGATAGTCATCTAATTGATGAAAACGTCACTGACAGGGCACACGAGTTCATGTTAAGAATAGATATGTACTTTAAATCATATGCTTTGTACTATATACTATTTTAACTGCAGATGAAGAGACGGAAGAAGAAATAAGAAAAACTTACTTGATGTTCGCTTTAGAAAAATGTATAATCATATCAAAATTAGCTTTTGAATTTGCAGAAAATACTTCTTCAAAGTTCGGTTCTGAACTTGAAACTTTTATTGCACCTTATATTTGGACGCCGTTGTTTAAATTATTGCCAACTTTGTACAGTATTTTGTTGAGGGTTTTAACAAATGAATTTTCCCTAATTGAATTTTCAAAACATTTCAAATCACCGGACTCTTCAGGGCTAATCGCATGGTGTCAATTGAATTACGAAAGCGACGAAAAAAGTGTTATGAATCTCGCAGCTATTTATGAACAGTTGAATTCAAAATGTTTGCATTTGACTGTTAAATTTTTTCATTGCTATCGTGTATGCTTTACCTTCAAAATTATATTTGATTACCTACAAGAATTTTATCCACAATTGTTAACTACACGTAGTAAGGATAGGAACATAAATACAAGTGAGACAGAAGTAAAGGCAATTGGTATGAATTCATTTCCCATAGATGACTTTTGGAATAACAAACTGGATCCTGAACAGATACTCGATTTTGACTATTTTATTGCTAATATGCAATATAATTTGGATCCTTTTCTAAATGATTTGAATGCAAGCTTTAATGTTGAAAATTGATTGCGGAGCAAAATCATAAATGTAGAACAGGTTCATGATATAGAAAATACCGGAGGAAAGCATGCAATGCGAGAATTTGCTTTAGACAAATATTTCGAAGAAGAAAGCCACTCTTAAGGTTTCCTTCATATAAGTTTAATACAATAGTTAAAACCAACAACAAATATATTGAACTATTAGTATACAATACTGCTTGAACGTAGTCGAGAAAATCTGTAATAATTGTTGGTATAAAAAACGTACCAGTCAAATTTTTGAACCAAGGTTTAAATTTCCACCTCAATTCTCGATTGCTCTCTTTGCATCGGCCAGTCAAGGAAAAGTGATAGTGGTGATATATTAGCAGGGTTGTAACATTCGCATCTTTAACATTATCTAATAATAAGCCTTTCCAGATCTAAGAACTCTACGAATATTGTATTATGCATTTATTTCGCGCCAACTTGTGTAGGCATTATTTATCTCTCTTCAATAGATTACATTCCACGATTTTATGAATGCGGGGACTATGATTTCACATTTTACCTGAGAATAAAGGAAAATCTGAACAAGCGCTATAACGACTTCAGCATAGATTCAGTAATCTTAGTGTTCATGAAATCGAATCTATTGGAACAATTCGCTTAGGTTCACACAATGCCTAGGAAGAGAACTCCCCAGAACACGACGATTTCGTAAGTATTTAAATAGGCTTTTCAGCGTGATTTATTTCCTCGTTAGTTACTGACATATTTATTACAGTTGCACATCGTGCCGAATCAAAAAAGTAAGTTTGAATGGTCTTATATACCTATTTCTAACGATATTAAAGAAAACATGTACTGACAGACGCGTGTTTAGCGAAAATGTGATGGAAAGACTCCTTGCACTTTATGTGTTTCAAAGAACATTGCTTGTCATTATGTGAATGAAGATAAGAGACAAAAGCGTCCTCAACAGGCTTATATGGACACTTTGGAAACTATGAATCGTAATAATCAAAAACTTTTAGACCTTCTTCGAGAGAATCAAAATGATCATCAGAAGCTTCAACAACTATTGAATGATGGAATCTCGATTGATAAGGAAACAAAAAAAGTATCGAAAAAAAGTCTAGATATTACTGACAATATCATAAAAGAACCAGATTGGAATTATAAAAAATTCAGCCATCTTGTTGTGCCCCGAACTAATGTTGTGTCGATGGTATTGGGACCTACAAGTGTTTATAATGATAAAATGATCATGGAAAATCAAAATATCACTAGCAATCACGTACAGAATGATATTACTGGATATGGTGAGGTTGATTATTTGGATAATTCCAATGATGATTGTACATTTAGTCCAAATAGCAGAAGCTTCTCTTTATCCCATGAAATTATTGATAATACCCAAGAACCATCGGATCCATTAAACCAGAGAAATATGCCACTTTCAAATATTAAACAGAAATTAACACCTGAACAAATATCAGAACTAGAAGGGTTTAGAGACAAATACGGCTATCATTCTTTCAAACTTTTCTACTTCAAGCCCTTGAAACTTCAAAGCAATCCGAAGAGTTTTTCTATCATCAGGACCAGTGTGTCATTATTTTTTAAATATATGTATTCGTCATCGTTTCTTTTCATCCACAGAGAAACATTCCTTTATTTCTTTCTTAATAACGAAGAAAATTGCGATTTTGTTTCACTGGAATTGATATACGCCATAAGCGCTCTTGGGGCTAAAATATCTACGGAGGAAAATATTCGGATGAAAGCAGACGAATTTTATAGCATTTCGAAAACTAAAGTGCTTGAAATCGCCAATGGAGAACATTTCATAACCGAAAGCTCGATCACCAAGCTTCAAACTCTTTTGTGTTTAGCATTTTATGACCTAGGAAGAGGAGAGCTCACCAGTAGCTGGCTTCTTTCTGGGCTTGCCTTCAGAGTTGGGTTTGATTTTGGATTTGAATTAGATCCCAAAGATTGGAATGTGTCTTTTAATAAGGCCCCTAAAGCTAGGTCCACAAGCACTAGTGCTACTTATTCATTATCTGGTCCCTCGTCCTCTACATCCTCAAATGTTTCTGTTAATCAAGCAAGAGAGAATCTTTACCAAAGTTATCCGTTTGATATTTGTCAAGTTCGACTGAGAATTTATTGGGGATCCTATGTAGCAGATAGATTCATTTGTCTAGTTACAGGCCGTTCGTCTACGTTAAAATTAGGAGATGTTACGATTCCAAACACTCAAGATATCGGAGATCTTACAGGAATTGAGGATTTCATTTATTATGATGTTACATCCTCAAAACAGTATGCCTGCCGTGCTTTCCACTGCTTGAAAGCAGTAGTAGAGCTCTTGAATTTGTCAGAAGATATCTCAATGAAAGTCTTTGGTCCAAGTATTGCGCCAGGGACAAATAGATTTGACTTAACAACCGAATTCAATTTGAAATTACTTCAATGGAAACAGAATCTTGGAACAGAACTATTTTGGAATAAAAGTATTTTGAAAAGAACAGCCCATAATGAACTTTATATGGGGCCTAGATATACTTTTTTTATAATTATTCTAAGTATCAACCGACCTTTTGTGTCGATGATTGCCTTAACTGCGTCAAAAAACCCTACATTTGTGAACTCTACCCCTGTGAAAATATGTGACGATATCATTGACGATATGGAGATTGTAATCAAGGCTTTGAAAGTTCACGAAACTACCTACAAAGTGTTCAAACCCCACATTTTAGCAGTATACTCTACTATTTTAACTATCAGTATATTGTTGTGGAAATTCAAAATTGCAAAAGATGTGTCACAGAAAAATGCTATTATTGAGAAAGTTGAGTTATTCTTTGACTTCCTACAAAAATGCAGCTCAATCTGGACCCTAGCGGTGAATCCGGTATCAGTATTCCATAAGAAGATTGAAACATTATATTTTGATGGAATGAACGATCTTAACTTTTTTAATGAAGTTCAGCCCCCAAAACTCAATTCTATTTTGAGTGAGAGGATAACTGAGAACAAAAACAACGAAACTTTCACTAGCATCAAAGATCCTAACGGGGAATATGAAAATGATAGTAACTTAAATAACAGCTATATACACACCTCAAAAAATATTTATAAGCAACAAACGATAGCGGAAAGAGAATTAAATTTGAAGGACAATAAATCTTATGGCCTCGAAGAAGTACTGTGCATAGATGATTTGTTTCAATCCTTCTTGGCAGAACCATCCAGCCAACAGTTTCTCACTAGACTCGATCTAGCAGATGCAATGTGGGACGAAACACTATTTTCCAAAGGTTTTAATTGGTGAATCTAAGTATATTAATAATTGACGAACAATATCTATATACTAAACAAATTTACACTCCCGATAGAGTGGAGAAAAAGAATTATGCTAAACAAAGGATTATATCGCTTCTGAAACTAGTTCAATCAACGAAAAACGATAATCATGATAATATGAATCATGATAACCTTTCCTTCCAGTTTGGCAGTGAATTTGATTCTCCATAATAAATATCTTGATTTAGTACAAGCATGGAGTACGAAATATACATTCAAATAGGCCATTTAGTAAAACGTAGACAGATGCTCAATAGAGAAGCAAAACCTGTAAGCTTGTAGCGTAAAATGAAATATGGATATTCAAGTAAAGAAATAGAAAGAAAAGCGGATCAATTTTTGGCGGAGATATCACTCAGGTAGACTGTGGAATTCAATTTAGGCAGCTCATTTCACAATATCAGGTTCGGAGGCAGTTTCTTGAAAACTTGTGCTTTTTTGTTTTTTTATTTTCAAATAGTTAATGACTGCGAGTAAACCGTAAGTGATTCCACCAAGAAAGCACATTCCTGTAATTACCCCAAATCCCATCGTGTATTTTGGTGAATCTTTCGAAGGGAATAAATAAGACCCATATATTTGGGCCAAATTCCCTATAGCGTTGATTAATGAGAGCCCTACTGATCTAGTCTTGGAGTCTTTGTCAGACAAGGTCGTAGCAGCATAGGAAAGGGCCAAAGCATTTGCAGCCCAAAGAGCAGAAGCCATTAGACAAAGCATAGCATATCTCGTTTTATACTCATGATGAGTGACGACAACGATTGAGAAAATTCCTGCCGCCAAAAGCAAGATAGTCAAGTATAGTCCTCTCCATTGTATAAATCGGTCACTAAAAAACGAAACAAATAAGTTTAAAACAAATGCTGAACCATATATTGGAATGGTCATATATTGTATCATAAACCCAGTATAACCTAAACCTTCATTCAAGGTAGGATAAAAGTAAGACAATGTTGAAGAACCGACAATTACCATGTACCCGACAATCAAAAGAAGGACCCTTAGAGACTTGCAATTCAGCCAAATTGCCTGCCATGCAGAAACATTATCTCCATCATCGTTAACCACATTGTCTTTTCGAAGTCTTTCAAGTGCAATTTGAATTTCGCGTTCGCTGAATCTTTTACCTGGTTTCATATGCTGTGGTAAAGGAAGTAAAGTGAAAAAAGCAATGAGAGATATAAAAATAGTGCCGGATCCTTCAATTATAAATAACCATCTCCAGCCAGCAATACCTTTGGCATCTTCTAAATATTCAGTGATTAAACCAGCGATGATACCTCCAAATGCCCCGGAAAGAATAGCTGCAGATATGTAAGCGGCAAAACGTTTTGACTGTTCTGCCTTTTTGTACCAGGACGAAAGAATTAACAATATTCCAGGTGCAAAACCAGCTTCAAAGAGTCCCACTAAGCATCTAAGAGCCACTACTTGTCCATTATTTTGTACGGCAGAATAACAGCAACTTATGACTCCCCAAAGTAACATAATAGTTGGGAGAAATAATTTAGGACCAATCTTTATTAAAAGGTAACTAGCAGGGATTTCAAATATCACATAAAAAACAAAGAAGACAACAAGGGCAATAGAATATTGAGAGGAGTCCATCTTCAAGTCATCTTTCATACCAGCAGCATAAGCATTTCCAACATTTGTACGATCCATGTATGAAAGAAGATACATCCAGAATATAGTGATGAGAAGGTAGCAATCAATTTTAAAAACCACTTTTTTTTCTTCTTCTGGGGTCCAGGTGATCAATTCATTACATGCATGATGAAATGAATGATCTGTATCATAATCATCTGATGTAGCTTCGTTGGGAATGAACTCTATATGTGATGATGCAGCATCACGTTTTTCTTTAGATTTGAAAACACTTTTCATGTCAAATTTCTGGCTATTATACCTAATAATCTAATACCCCAAAAGTAGCAAAATATTATATGCAATTGAATTCAAATATTAAAAAAAAGTAGCTTCGAAGATTGTAGTATATATTTATATAAAATGTTAAATGCGTGAAAATTAAACTTTATGTATATCTATTGATAGCTGCCCCAGTTTCTGGAATAGATTCTCAATTTGAAAAGATTTCCGAAGGTTAGTCCGAAGCTGCATGGTGGAAGTACGTCCCCGATTGTGGAGTCGAAGCTTCCCTGATTTTTACTGCGAAAATTGTGGGGTAACGAAGAAATTGTTTAAAGGAAAGAAACAAAATTTATTGATATTGCTATGTAATTACACATTCAGGCCTTTCCTGATGAACCAAACACATCCATCCAGTACTCTAACCTTTCGACTAATAAATCATTACTTTTATCAAGTAGGTCAGTTAATGGCAACTTTGATGCATTTTCTTCAAAATACTTCAAATGTGTATCTAAAACAAGCTTGTTCACATTTATTTTTGACATTTTGAATGAAATGTTTTCATGTATCAATTTTGGAGTGAAATCATTTGTTCCATGAAGACAAAGTAAGGCATTTTTCTCCTCCACTTTAGGAGCTAATGTTTCTAAAATGTCGAATCTCAAGTTTGGTCCGGCTGAAGGATAATTTCCGTGCAAATTCCCAAAAGCTGGAGATAAGATATCAATTCCTGTTTCTAAAAACAACTCTGCTTCCTCAGGGGTAGTTAATATTCCCTCAAGTTCGGTTGTGTCACATATTCCATCTTCACCACCTTCAATTCTTCCTGGTTCAGCTTCAGTTGCCTTGTGATATTTGTTGCATAATTGGACAAGTTCCTTGGTTCTTGCCAAATTATCAGCTTTCTCATAATGTGACATATCTACCATTATTGAATCAAATGGTAATTTTTCAGCAGCAAGCTTTACGATTGCAGGATCTTGACAATGATCAAGATGAATAGCCACAGGAACTTTAGCCTTTTTTGCCAACATTGAAGCACATTTCACCAAGTCTCCATTGGAATGACTAATGACCCATGGAAACATCTGGATAATCAATGGCGAATTTTTGTTTTCTGCTGCTCTAATCATCGCAATAACATGGTCTAGAGTGTAAGCAATTGTAGAAAGCACACCATACTGGCCTTCCTGAGCGAACCTAAGTATTTTCAAAGTAGTATTATGTTTCTTCCAATCAGACATAATATAATTTTGGAGAAAAATGAGTAGTTGAAAATTATAAATTAAATGGAGAAAAAGTAGAGGAAACCGTCCTATTTTAGATTAAAATGGAATATGATTTTCTGCTGACAACTCTATATTTTTCTTTACCGTGACATATTTGGATTTTGAGGAAATGTACTTCCGCGGTACTTACTTGCACCAAAAGAAAACTAGTAAACTTGCTAGTGGCAATATCTTAAATATAATATATAAACCCTATTATTTCTCCATTATTATTTCTAATGGAGAAATAATTGCAGAAGAAAAATACAAAGAACTTTAAAGTTTGAAGCTATTATTTTAAAATCTTGAAGACAAACAATTATGCTCGGTTTAGAAAAACAAGAATACCCTAAAATCTCTACTCTTCCAGCAAGGAAAAATCTTGAGAATGGAGTACACGGAAAAATATTGGTTATCACAGGGGCCACAACAGGAATTGGTGCGGCTGTTGCTCGAGGTACTTTAGAAGCCGGTGCAAAATCTGTTTACAATTTAGACTTGAGAGAACCATCTAAAAGCCAAGCAGATGAATTTGAATCCTTGCAAGAAGACTATCCCAATCAAGCCCATTACCTTTTTGGTGATGTCACTAATACTGAGACCCTCAAGAAAGCATTCCAAGCCATTGTATTGAAGGAAGGTGGTATTGATGGAGTTGTTGCTAATGCTGGTATCACAAAGAGAAAAGGTTCTCTTGAGTACACAGAAGAAGAATGGGACTCAATTATTGCAGTTAACTTAAAAGGTACTATTAACACATGCATGGTGGCTATT